AAGAGGGGAGACCACAAATTCCTTGCGGAATATGGGTTGCTCAAATGGTTACAAAAACCAGGCATTAATTTTGCATGCATCAATCTTATTTGGTACAGACGACAGGCACATAGAGTGCGATTGTAGCTCAAACTCAGAGAAGCCCTTTGGTAGCCACAGAAGGCCTCACAGAGGAAGCAGATTTGAGAAAAGTCCTGTAGGACTGGAAAGGGTGAGGCAGGTAGTCCAGATAGTCGGGGGGAGAGGCCCAGCCTAAGGGTGAGAGGTTCAGCTGCATCCTTCCCCTGATGAAGGGAGGCCACACTCTTGCCTCCCCAAGGCCCACAAGGACAGCCCAAGCCGGCAACTTGGGTGAGGCAGAGTGTCTGCTGGGTGAGGCACCTGTGTCCCATGCTGAGGACAGTGGCACTTGGCAGAGTTCAGTCCACCTGCTACAGATCTGCCTGATGTCCTCTGAGGGAGCCAGAGTGAATTCACTGTTCTGAGAAAGGACTGGCTCATCGGCACTCTGAACGTTCCTTCTCCTTCCAGAGACGCCAGCGCCAGGCCGGCTTGGCCAGCCTGGGCACCCCCGGCACACTTCACTCCCCACCAGCTCCGGTCCTGCTCCTGAGGCCGGCTGGCTGACCCCACGTCCTGAGGAAGCTGAAACCAGCCTGGCCTTGAGCCCAGGAATGCACTGGCCCATGTTCCTGCATTTTTTTGTAACCCACTCACCTGCCTCCTGCCCCTTTGGGGGTTTCCAAGTATCAAAATCCCAGGTATCAAGACCCACAGGTGAGAGGCCATTTCCAGACTAATTCCCAGGGATGGGCCTGACAGGAAGGGTCTCTAGGATATGCCTTCTGGTCATAAGCTTCTGGTCATTAGGACTCAGGGATGACCTCACCCACTGTGTTCATCAGGCCTTGGCCAGGTCCCACCTAGACTGGAGAGCTTAATCAAGCTGCCACTGGGAAAAGGCGGTTGGTGAATCGTGCTTCTGGGCCTCTCTGTGGCCTCTGCAAGGTGAATCTGACTCGGGGAAGTCAGTAGAGAAAGAGTGCAGGTTTGAGGCTCCCTAGCTCCGGAGCCAACTCTCAGCTAAAGCTCACTACTTCCTAGGTATTTGTGAGTCCCATCTGTACAATGGATATACACATCCACGGCTTAAATAAAATAATACAAGTAAACAACCTAGCATGGTCATGGATATGCCTGTACCTCTTTCCCTAATAACTAGGTCCACATCAGCACCTTTGTAAGAAATAAAATAAGCAATAATGAGGTTTTCTTTGGCCACCGCACTAATCCTTACAACATCCCCATCAATGCTCCGAGTCAGTTCCCACCTTACAGACGAGGAGCCTGATTAGCTTCTCTGTGGTCACACGGCTTGTCAGGGAGCGGTCTGGGCTGGCATCCTGGGTGGCTCTGCTTTGCTGAGCACTTACTATGTACCAAGCTGTGTGCCAAGCACGCTGACTTAGCACACACAAGCCCCTACTCGCAGTAACCTTGGGTTAGATGGCATCACTACCCCCATGTTATAGATAAGGAAATGAAGCCGGAGAGGAGGCGTGTCACTTGTCCAAGGCCACATGTGATAAGCTAGCATGCCACGGCTGCCTGACTTCAAAACCCTGCAGTCCCGCCTTCTGACCCCACCAGACCCTAGTCGCAGGGTCGGGGGCTTTGAATGCACGGTTCTGGGTTCTGGCTGTTCCGTACCCAGCACAGCACAGCTCTCTACCTCCACCTTGACTCTCAGGGACAGGATGGATGTTGAGGCCAGGGCGCAGACTAGAGCCCAGTCCTCATGGGCGCTGCCAGCTGAGGGGAGGGACAGGAGGATGGGGGAGGGAGTCAGTCCTAGCAAAGACTCAAGGTCCTTCTGATAAGGACTGGCAGGAGCACAGCCACGGGCACCACACACAGGGCCAGTCCCGGGCCCAACTGGAAAGTCAGAAGGCCTCCCTGCCTGTCTTCTCTGTCTCCTCTCGGTGCTCCCTAGGGCTGGAGCCCCTCTGCATTCAGGACCAGCAATGTATCCTCGGCAAAGTTACTTAACACCTCTGAGCTGGTTTCCTTATCTGTAACGTGGGAACAAGGGTTCCTAAGTCCCAGAGAGGTTGTGACAATGGAGGCAGTGGATATAAAGAGCCTGGTACAGAGCATGGCAAGCAGCAGACACTCAACAAACATCAGTTTCCTTTTGACCCTCGATGCTCCACGCTGCCAGCAAGATGGGCGGAGTCATACGTGCCCCTTATATCTGAAGGAGGTGGTGTGAGACGGTGGGGGAAGGACACCTGGCCCCGATTCAGGCAAGTCCCAGCCATGCCACCTACTAGTCTGTCCTGCGGATGCCTCTGGACTTTAGTTTCCACATCTATCAAATGCGATGAATGAAACCTTCTTTGCTCTGACCTACAGGATCGAACAGGATGACATCTACAAAAAGAGCTCTGTAAACTAAACTACTCTGCAAAGGTCAAAGGTGAATAAAAACTGTAACACTAATATACCCAGCAGCCACCACACTATGCCAGGCCTAGGCAATGCACTTTATTTTTTTTTTTTAAGTTATATTCATTTAGTTTGAGAGAGAATGCGGGTGTGAGAGTGGGGGAGGGGCAGAGAGCGAGGGAAAGAGAAAATCCCAAGCAGACTCCGTGCGGTCAGCACAGAGCCTGACGACGTGGGCCTCCATCCCACGAACCATGAGATCATGAGCTGAGCCGAGATCAAGAGTCAGACGCTTAACCGACTGAGCCACCCAGGCACCCTGGTAATGCACTTTAAATACATTTTTCCCACTTTATTTTCATAACCTGGAGGAGGCATGGTTCCCATTATACTGATGAGAGGAGAAGCCCTGAGAAGCCACGTCATTGACCCGAGATCACACAACAAGTGGTAGAGGCAGGATTTGAACCCAGGTCCTGGTGATTCGAGGAGAGGCCCTAGGCCATCTTGTTTCCTACTTGGACCATTCTCCTGCATTGGCTGTTGGCCTGTGCCATGCCCTTGGCTGTCTTTAGATGTTGGAGAAGGGACATCCTGAATTCCAGTCTGGCTCCCGTAGACATATGTGCCTGTTAAGCTTCTAGTTCTGAAATGAAAGGCGGTGTCCCCCTTCAGAGGCACCCCGATAGCATATAGCGGGTAGGGGGCTTTGCTGTCCCAGACACACTGAGTTCCTTCAGCACACCTCCAAGCACCACCCTGCTCTGATCCTCAGGGCCTCGAACCGGAGGAGGCTGGACCGCACAGGGGGCTGCTGAGGGGGGCCAAGGAGAAATGGTGGGCGGGTCAAACCCAGCAGCAGCAGCACTTCTGCCCCCCGGAGGCTGGCGTGGAAAGGACAGCTCGCCTGATCTGGTCCTCTTATTTCCGCTGCCATCTAAAAGGCACAATTGCCTGAGATTCGTGATTGTCAAGTTAGAATATTTTCCTGTCTCGTAGGAAGGTTTCTGTCTGTTTGAGAAGATTTGTCCCCTTTGGGGTCTCTTCTTATATTTTACTTACTTGGAGTAGCTTAAAGGTATTTTTAAAAAACTTAGTGTCTGTTGAATCTCTGAATTTAAGTTCTGTCACTGACGGCTTTTCGTGATCTAGCCTCTCCCAGCATTTAGGTCCCAGGATGGGGCCGGGGCCGCAGGAGAGGGCTGGCCAAGGTCTCAGCTGCCGAGGGGCTCAGGTCAGGATCTCTTTATGTTGTGCTGGGTGTTGTGAATTCACATGGGGGACCGACTCCAATGAGTAGGGGTTAATTCAACAAACATTAACCCTGCAAACAAGACAGACATGGGGCTCTAATCTAAGGATAAAACCACCAACACCAAGGTCAACTAGTGGTGCCTAGGCCCAACAAGGCGCAAAGAGGAGAACTTTAGCCAAACGGTTTATCGTACAAGCCCAAGCACCGCATCCCTGCCTGTGATGCGTAAACTCTCAGATAAACTGTTGTTCTAATTTCATCTGCTCACAACCTTAAAGTCTGATCAAGAGTGCTCAGCCTTGGTTCCCTGGGCTCACAGCTGTCAAAGCTCACGGTCAATGCTGGTCAAAGCTAAGCCGCAGCTTAAAGCCTCAAAAGCAAGGACCTCAGTTGCCAGTTCTCGTGCACCTACTATGTGCCACACATACCATGTGAACTGTGTACACATGTGCTGCATAGTTCTCAAAACTCTGAAGTTTGGGTATTATTAGTCCCATTAAAAAATTTTTCTTTTGCGCCTGGGTGGCTCAGTCGGTTAAGCGTCCAACCTCAGCTCAGGTCATGATCTCACGGTTCATGGGTTCGAGCCCCACATCGGGCTCTGTGCTCACTGCCAGCTCAGAGCCTGGAGCCTGTTTCAGATTCTGTGTCTCCCTCTCTCTCTGACCCTCCCTGCTCATACTCTCTCTCAGAAATAAATAAAACATTAAAAAAAATTAAAAAAAATCTTTTTCTTTTGGGGGTGTTTGGGTGGTTCTGTCAGTTAAGCATCTGACTCTTGATTTTGGCTCACAGTTGTGAGATCAAGCCCTGAGTCGGGCTCCATGCTGAGCATGGAGCCTGCTTAGGATTCTCTCTCTCTTTCTCTCTCAAAATAAATAAACATTAACAAAACTCTTTTACTTGATTATAGGTAACGCACCATGTTACATGGTTCCAGGTGTACAACACAGTGATTCGACAAGTCTATACGCTGTGCTATGTTCACTCCAAGAATAGCCGTCTGTCCCCACACAAGGCTATTATGGTACCATCAACTACATTCCCTATGCTGTACCTTTCATCCCCATGTATGACTCCCATTTTTATAGATGAAGGGACTGAGGCTCAGAGACCAGTAACTTACTCGGGACCACACAATGAGTGACGGGGCAGACATTCTAACCCGGTTTCACCAACTCCAAAGTCTCTGGTCATCCCTTCTGTCAAGCCCTTGCTCTAACCAGGCCTGGCCAGGTAGGTTCTGCTGACAGCTCCCCTCCGCAGCCCACGCGCTGGCCTCCTGCTGGGTGCTTACCGAGGAGGTGCTTGATGATGGCTTGGTTGTGTTCCCAGAGGTTGCTGAAGGTCCCCCAGCGCGAGTGGCCGTCAGGCACAGGGTTGGCTTTGATCCAGCCGCCACAGGCGTAGGTGAAGAAGTCCTGGCAGGGGTCCACCGTGGGGTCCATGGAACTCAAGATGGAGCTGGTCACAGAGACGCAGGCCTCACTTAGGCACACTGGGGGGGTTCCTGGCAGGGGTCAAAGAGAAGAGGCCAGTGAAGGGCAGGGAGAAGGCTGTGGGAATATAGTGCAGGTGGCCTGGGGTGCCGTGTGCCACCCTAGCCCTGACCGGCTGGATTTGGAGCTGGACAGTCGCTAGACTTCCAGAGAGAAATGGTTTCAGTAGATTAATGATTTCCTGGCTTGTAAAACAAGACTTTTGTTGAGATCCCATTTGAAAACGTTTTCTATGGCTTGACAAGTACCCAGAACAAAGGTGTTTCTCTTAATCAGTCCTTCTTTCCACAAATATTTATTGATTTTTTCTTATTCCCTGATGTTCAACAAAATGATTCACTCATTCATGCATTCATTTATTCGACAAAATAATTACTGAGTATCTTCTAGACTCTTATTGAGTGTGGTGTGACAGTGTGTGTGTGTGTGTGTGTGTGTGTGTGTGTGTGGTGAAGGATATAAAAGGCATAGACCTTTCCTTTAAGAGCTAGTAATTTATCTGGGGCTACAGACATTATACAAGAAAAGTTAAATGACGACAGGAGCAGAAATGTCTGACATTTATTCTACAAACATAAACTGAGTTTATTTAGTCCATGACAAACGGGTGACACAGACAATATGGTGCCAAGACTTAGGATAAAGGAGAGCCTATCAGGAACCAAAAAAACTAAGACAAATCATTCCCACTGAGTACACGGTGGGAGATTATCTCACTGACTCTCAAAGAAACAAAAACAAAACAAACCTAAGAGACCATTTTGCTTAAGGCCATTTTTGTATACAAGTGACACTGAGGCACAGAGAAGCTAAGTGTCTTGTTCAACAGCCAAGGTACCCCATCCTCTCGCTGCTCTGTGTCCGGTGGGCCTGGAGGGGTGCTATCCCAGCAATGACAGGTGGGGTCCAGGGTGGCCCCATCTGTCAGGTGCCTCCCTAAGGAGGGATGGTAGCCGGTGCAGGTGGGCCGTGGGCAGGGCTGCCAAATACTCTCAGTGCCCCCAGTGAATCAGCTGTTTCTGACTGGCTCTCCTATGACACGGGGCAGAGGCAGTGACGGCTCTTCAAAGGCCAGAGGCAAGAAGAGGGGGTGGACCCCTGCCTCCGTGTTGGTCAGAGGGCTCCAGCAGAGGGACCAAACTGGGCAGCCTTAGCAGGGGTCCAGTCCAAGGCGGCAAGAGAAGCCCGACTCTGTGGGAGGTGGAGGCCTCGTGACTAAGAGCCTGAGCCCAGCGGGACCGTCCGCTGACACGCCACGCAGGCGACAAGAAGGACTTTACACACATTCATCATCTCCTTCAGGCCTCACTGCAGACAGCTGTGATGCCCGGTCCAAAGAGGAGGAAACCGAGGCTCTGTGTGAGTGAACGGAACAGGGTCACCGGGCCGAGGGGGAGGGCCAAGGCTGAGCCAGCTCTGCTCTGCTGCAGCAACTCCAAGGGCAGCTTCCCTGTTTTCCCTCACGGCCTCTTTGCCAGTCACATCAGGTCTGGGGCGGCCCTTCTGGCAAGTTCGGCATCCCTACCACACAGGAAGGAGTGTGGCGGGGCCGGGGCTGGAGGCTCTGAGACCTGGGTTCAAATCCCAGCTTTCTGATTCTGGTTGAGACTTGTGCAGGTAACCTCATCTCCCTGAGCCTCAGTTTCTCCATCTAGAGAGGAAGCACAGTGAACCTGATTTCACAGTGATGATGGCTGCCTTCACGGCTGGACCCCATGTTCCCACCCAACCTGCAGAGAGCAGAAAACGATGCAGAGTTTTCTGCACCAGCCCCACAGGGGTCGCCTGGGGGCTTAAAAAAATTTTTTTTTAATGTTTTTTTTTGTGTGTGTGTGAGAGAGAGACAGAGAGACAATGTGAGTGGGGGAGAGGCAGACACAGAATGCGAATCAGGCTCCAGGCTCTGGGCTGTCAGCACAGAGCCTGACACAGGGCTTGAACTCTCGAACCATGAGATCACGAACTGTGCCGAAGTCGGACGCTTAACTGACTGAGCCACCCAGGTGCCCCTCCTGGGGGCTTTTTAACATCTGATGACCGGCACCAAGTCTGGCAGGGCTCAGAGGAGCCACACAACACCACAAAAATCAAGGTAACTTTATTTTGAGGTAATTATTTGTTTGGAGATAACCATGCGACAATTACAAATTACGGGCACATCAGGCAGGAAAACAGAGAAAGGAAGAGGCAGGAAGATGGTGCCATTTAACTATCTCTGGATGAGACCGTCTCAATCCAAGTTGCACAGCCCACTCCCCTACAAGGGAAAATACATTTCCTAGAGTCTTTAGGGTGGGTGGGGGAACGGGAAGAGCCTTTCTGCATCGTTTGAAAATGCCTATTCACTATTATGATAGAACTTCGTATTTGGGAAAGCAAAAGAATACCTATTGTTTTTCTACAACAAACTGCAGGAAGTAAAGGCTGACAATATCTTGGCTTGTGGGAATGCCCAGGAGACAGATTGCCAGATGGTGCTTCTTGGGGAACAAGACATGTCAGAATCTGCATGCCCACATGCGTGCAAGAGAGGTGAGGGGGTAATCTTGGATGAGTTATTTTTGAGGTTATCATAAGGGGACTTGGGTTTAAAAACAAAAGAAGAAACCAGTCTCCGGGAGTTACTCTGAATGGTCTGAGTTCTTCACTAAAGCACCTGTCTGCTAGGTGCTTAAGCTCATGCTTATGCTTAAGCTTGAGCTCAAGCTCATGCTTAAGCAACAATAAATAATTGGTTGTTTACCTGCTTAATGGTTTGTAGATCCTTCCCCAGCTATTCCTGATTCAGCAGGTGCTTAACACATATCTGATCAATGAATTGTTTCCAGGTTCCCCGCCCCCCATCTAACATCAAGGTCAACACTTTCAAGGCTTCAACTGTTGAGGAAAACCTTCCCAGACCCTCAGTCCTTGCTGGGCCCCTTGGCTGGCTGCCTGGATGCTCGCTCTCTGAGCAGACTATACTTTGTCACGGCTGTCTCCCTGTCTCCCTCCCTGACTGGAACATGAGCTTGAGGCTAGGGCCAGCACCTTACTCACATTTACATTTCCTTTGCACTGCATTGCACTTGGCACCTAACAGCTGTCTGATAGGTGTTTGCTGAATGAATGAATGAATGAATGAATGAGTGAATGAGTGAATGAGTGAATGAAATGAGCTGCATCCGGCACTCAGTCGCCACCTGAACAGGCAGGAAATCTCTCTTCCTTTGAGGATGTGCGTGACCAGTCGAGAAAGCAGGAACAGTCCCAGATCTAGTTCAGAGCACCCGTCCGGGCAGTGCTGGGGCCTCAACACAGAGTAAGACACTTAAGAATCTTTTCTGGGAGGATCTGTGCATTTTGCTGCTGTTGTCTGGGAAGCACCTGCAAGTTTCTGGAAAGGGGGTGCAGGATGAAGGTGGATAAATATGTATTTAAGGGCCCAGACATAACTTTGAGATGGGTCTTTCAGGATGAGCAGAGAATGTGCTTTGACTATAGCCTGATGTTGGCTCAGGTGTGACCAATGCCAGCACCTGCTGACAGGCATGAGGTGACTGTCAGTATCTGGGGTGGCTGCGGCTTTCCCCGGGCCAAGGCAGCCAGTGAAGACACATGGGTTGGCTCAGGGCTCAGCGTCACCTGGGGGGAGAGTTCCTTTCATCCAGGCTGGGGACACCCCTCCTGCAGCCCTCAGCGGGCCGCGATACAGGCCGAAGCAAGGCTGCTCCCTGCAGGCCCCGCCTGGGCCCCAGCCCCCGGGTCTCCCTTCTAGTTTCTGGGAACTCCTGGGACACTCTCGGAGCGCCTGATACAGGGGGCTGGAAGGCAGCCTCAGATGAGGTCCTGCCCTCTCTCTGGGCCTTCATGCTCCCTCCCCCTCCCAGTCTAACATGGCCAGCCATGCAGGCCAGCGACTTCACAGTGCAGAAGGTTCAGAGAAGCCTGGGGTGAAGGCTCCCAGATCCTGTGAGGGGTCATAATCTCTCTGATAGCATGAGAGATCAGGTGACCAAGGAGGTGGGGTTGGACCCCAAGCAAGGCCCCCAGAAGCTGCTCTGATGGGCCATCTGCCATCGGAAAGCTAGATGCTGGGGCTCAGGCTGTGAGAGACCCCGGAGCCGGCTGGATTCCCCCTCCTCGGCTCCACCCTTTCCAGTTCCATAAGTGCTTACTGAGCATCAACTCTACATGAGGTACTAGACCCTCTCAGCCAAACACAGAGGGCCAGCCTCGAACCTGACAGCAGGATCAGAGGGGCCTGATTATGCCGCTAAACAAGGTGCGGTACAGAAATGTGACTGCAATGTGTACAAATGAAGTACACGAAGGGCCACTGGGCCGTGACAGGGCTGCTCTTCCAGGGGTTCTAACACGCACCCCAATCACAAAGGCAGGTGGGGCCCCCACCAGCGTGCAGTTGAAATCTGGCTGCTCTCGTCACTTCTGCATCAGCCACGTAACCTTGAGCAAGTCACTTTGTCTCACCGCCTCACTTTCTTCAGAGATAAAATGGAGCCCAAAGTAACCACACCTCACAGGGTTGCTGTGAGGAGGAAATGAGCCCACATTTGTAAAGAAGAGGTGTGGATTTGGTCCACGGAAAGTACTGAGTAAACGGAAGCTAGTATTGCTATTTTGTTGGAACTAAGGATGACGGACAGCACCATACTGTGTCTCTAATCAGCCCACATCTTAACAATAATAGCACCCAGAGTGAAGGTTAAAGAAGTCCTAATAGGCATCAGGTATGTGATAACGTGATAGACATTATCTCTAAACCTCAGAGCGAGCCCCAGGTTGGACGCCATTTTCCCCATTCACATTAGAGAAGACACAGGTTCTGGGAGATTAAGTGGCTTGTCCAAGGTCACACAGACAACAAACGGCTGGGCCAGTGTTTGGACTCATGTCCAAAACCTTTACGCCACCCACGCTGTCTGACACCTCCCATGTCTCTGTCCATCTCAGCACCAAGCCATCCAGACCCAGCTCCCTCCTTGGCCTTGAAGGCCAGGCCTGGCTTGAGCAGGGAAGCCCTCTCGCACGAGTGGATGGACAGAGCCGGAGGCAGGAGTGAGTCAAGCCCACATCGAAACACGGAGGCACCTACTTGTCCGGTATTGAACGCCCAGCGCTGCCAAGCAGGCCACCAGCCCGGCCACCAGGAGTACCACCAGCACCAGCAGCCGCTTTTCCATCTGGGTCCGCGCAGCCCAGCATCTCTGACCACTCCGGGGGCTGTGGAAGTTCACCTGCAGGGAAGGAGGCAGGAGGGGTGGGGAGGACGTGAGCCCAGGACCCCCCTTCCCCAGGAGCAGGGGGCTCCTCGGCAGGCCCAGGCCCCGGGGAGGCATCAGGGCTGCCCTGGGCCTCAGGGGTGGTCTGGTTCCCACAGAATCAGCCCTAATCCAGGAAAGGAACAGCCACCCTGCTCAGCAGCTCGGATTAGCTCCTGAACACCAGAGTCAAGCCGCTCAACCCAGCCGGACTTGTGTTTTTTGTGCTACCCGATACGGGTAGGAGGGAAAAAAAAGAGCTCTTCCCTGTTTCTCTAGCAAGGAGTTCAAAAAAGAACAGGATGTTTGGATTTGCAGGCATCCAGGGAGCGTCCGGCTGGCTCTTCTCAGAGCCCCACAGCGCAGGCTGGGATGACACAGCCACAGCTCACACTGCCCAGGAGTGCGGACATCCTTAGCTCATTACGCCCTCCTAGTCCCGTGAGGGCTGTTAGCAGTTCTCTTTTACAGATGAGGAAACTGAAGTTCAGAGAGGGTGAGACCTTTGCCTCTCGTCACACAGCTAAATGGGGAGAGATGGAGTTTGGACCCACGTCTGTTGATTCCAGAGCCTACCAGCAGATCAGGGACTTGAGTCTGGGAGACGTCAGGGGAGATGGAATGGAGAGATAGCTCCGTTCAGGCAGGTCCTCAAAGGGAGGAAAAATGTCCCCAGCCTAACAATCTAGCTAAACAGGAAGGGAGGCACAATGAGAGGAAGTGGAGGGCGTGACAGGGCCCTCAGGGCTGAGAAGGGACAAACAAGCCCTCAGCCCAGGCCTTCACACCCAGCTCGAGGGGAGCCCCCCTCCATTCCAAGAGGTGCCTCTGCAAAAGCCAGGGCCACAGGACAGGAGGCGTCCCCAAAGGTGGGGCTTGGCTCCGTGACACTGCAGTCATGTGTCAACAACGGCTGAGCACCGGCTCAGGGCCACGTTGGAAACACTGGGAGGAAGACAGACTCTCTTGCTTCCACCTGCTCACAATCCAGCAGGAAGGCAGACACAGAAACACACTAGGGTGGGAAGTGGCGGGGGGCCTCGGGGGGCGTCCAGTCGGGGAAGGAGATGCGGATGCTTGTGCTGGGTCTTGAGGAATAAGTAGGGGCTGGCCCGGTGGTGGGGAAAGAATGGAGAGGAGGCAAGGCCTAGATCCCAAGGGGCACGGAAAGCCCATTTAAAGAACAAAGACTTCTTCCGGAAGGCTGGGATGACAGGACTGGAGGCGCCCTTTGGAAACACCAAGGTGGAGGGAGGGAGGCTTGCTGGGGCGCGGGCACGCAGGTGGGGGCCCCGGAGCTGCCCGGGGGGGGGGGGACCTGCCAGGGGAGATGAGGAGACTGACTCCAACCCGCAAGTGTCCTCCTGAAAGCTGAGGGGGTGACTGCCTCCCCCCCCAGGGAGCCTCACACTGGCACCTGGGGATCTGGGCGGGGTCCCCTTAGTTCAGGCACCTCGTGGCTTCATGCTCGCCGCTGGGTATTTTCTGGGCAGGAAATGACCGGGAACTGCTGCACCAGAGAAAGGGGAACAGAAGAACTTTACGTGGAGGAAAAAAAAATTGTGTTCTAAAACCAACAAAAGGAACTCGGGGCCTAGTCATGTTTCCGACGAGGGCCCGGCGGCCCCGATACCGATACCGAAACAGCTGTGTCAGGTAGAGGGAAGGGCGCCGCCTCCACAAACCCCTTTCTCAAGAATGGTTTCAAAAATGTGACAAACGAAGATTCTGACCACGCTCCTGCCATGACGGGAAAACTCTGGGGCAGAGTCAGCCTGGGCCGCTGCTGACCACGTTCCCGGCACAGGAAGGTTTATAAATGCTTGTTCCTCGGCATCAACGCTCTCACGCAGTTCCCCTTGGGAAGCGCTATCCACGGTGGGCCCAGAGAGCGCGAGGCAGCACTGACATTTCGCTCTTCCTGCCACTATGGCCCTGGCCCGTCTCACCGTCTGCTTCTACCTGAGGGTTCTCAGCCCCACCCCAGCCGATGGCCCAGCTCATGGGGGGAGGAGGTGAAAGAAGAGGCAGGGAGGCCTTGGTTTAAGAAGTGCCCCTCTGCCTGGTGCTGACTCTTGGAAGCCAGAGAGCGCAGCCATCAAGCCTAGAGGAGCAGGCAAACTCACCATCTGCGGAGAGAGCAACACCTTGGCGTGGAATCAGGTGAAAGGGAGGGAAGGGAAGGGAGAAGACGGAAGGAACAGAGAGAAGGAGAAGGAGTCCTAAGAGTAGCTAACACCTGAGTGCTTTCTATGTGCCTGGCTTCGTGTTGATTCTATTTGGCTGCTGGATGAGGCTACTCTCTTTTCACAACATGCTTAAGACTAGGTGCTAGTATCGGCTGCAGAAGAAACACAGGAAGGAAGGGAGGAGAGAGAACAGTGAAAAAAACCTCTCTCTGCAGCAGACCCAGCAGCCTCAGCCCCAGGGCCGCCATGGCCTCCCGGCCCCTGAGGAACATCAACAGAGCTTGAGCCTCATTGTTTAGTGTCAAGCAAACAGATGGTGTTCACTGCAAAAGTGAATCAGAATTAAGTCCGAATTAAATTACAAATGCAGTTCCGGGAAGAGATGGCAAACAGGATTTGAAAATAGGATTCTTAACCTTTGTCCTGCTCTTCGCTCAACTCGTACTCAGCGGGCTGAGGGCCTGCTGGTTTCTTGACAAGCCTCCTCTCTGAGGACAGGAGGGACCCAGAGGCCTGCCCTGGGGCGGAAGTCCCCCCGAGGCGCTGTGCCCAGATCTGGGGGGCCTCTCCGGGAGAAGCCGTCTAATTCCTGGCATGGAGGACGGGGCCAGGCCGCGAGGCCCTTCTCTCCGAGCCCTGTGGTCCTTGCCCTGCCTTCCTTCAGAGCATCCAGCAAGACGAGGTCCCAGCAAGGGGGAGGGCACACACGGGTTCTCGTGTTCCCTTTGGAAATGAGGGCATGTTGATCACTAGAGCCAGTCTGCAGCCAACTCGGAGGCTGGTTGGGGGGGGCGGGGGGGGCGCTTGAGGCAGGCAGCCTGCTCTGTCTCCGGAGAGGTAACTGGGAGTGGCCATCAGCCAAGGAGCAGAGCCACCAAAGCCTGGAAGGTGGAGCTGAGAATTACTATAAATGCTCAGCTCATGGGTGGGCTTAAAATCCTATTTCTTGGGGCGCCTGGGTGGCTTAGTCGGTTAAGCGTCCAACTTTCGCTTAGGTCATGATCTTGCGGTTCGTGGGTTCGAGCCCCGCGTCGGGCTCTGTGCTGACTGCCAGCTCAGAGCCTGGAGCCTATTTCAGAGTCTGTGTCTCCCTTTCCCTCTGACCCTCCCCTGCTCACGCTGTCTCTCTCTCTCCTAGAAATTTAAAAAAAAAAAAAAAATGTTAAAATCCTATTTCTTGTCACGTGAGGCAGAGAGAGGAGACCGAAGGAAAAGGATGCCCTCAAAAGAGAGAGGCGGAGAGGGAGGACAGAGGAAGAAAGAGACAGGCAAAGCCAGAGAAACGGAGAGAAAGAGACTGAGCTGTCCAGCCTAGGGGTTCCCAGGGTTTCCACAGCCAAGGGAACAAAAGCCCTAATGAAGGATAAATATTCGGTTACAGAGTTGAGTGCTTGGCTCACCTAGACTTACAGCAACAACGAGTTCTGCAGGCAGGCAAGGACGGGACCTGACTGCCTGGGGCCCAGGAGAGGAGCCAGCAGGAGAAGGGGAGGGGAGTGGGGCAAACCCTGGTTTTCAGAGGAAGCAGGGGGGAAGGAGGCAGAGGTTCTCCCTGAGCCGCTGCCAGGTCCCCCAGAGACCTGGGCTGTGCAGAGAGGCCAACAGGAATCAGTCTGGCCAAGGGTTTGGCAAGGAGCCCACCCCCTGCAGCCCAGGGGCCTGGCCACCCCACGAAGGCTAGGGGGTGACCGGGCTGCCTGCTTCCAGCCAGCCTCTCAGAGCAGACAGACCATGACCAGTGAAGTTTTTATACAGAGGACTTCTAGCTGAGGCCACGGAGGCCAGCCCAGGGCAAAACCAGAAGGCCTTCTGGTCCCCCCACCTCTTCCTGGGGCCCCACCTGTCCTCTGCCCCCATGCCCGACTCTCTTCCAATGACAGACAGTAGTTTATACTAGTACCTGCTGTGGGGTAAGGGACTCCTTCCATCTAAACAGGAACCAAAGTCTAGTTTTTAGAAAAACCACTTTCCAGCTCTCTTTGCTTCCCGGATGGAACACCAGCTACCAAAGGCAGGAGAAGAGGGCGGTCAAAGGTCAGCCTCAACTTTATCAAGACCCTGCATGTGTGTCTGTGTCGCTGGGCAGCCTCTGAGCCTCAGTCTCCTGTCTTTAAAATGAGGAAGCTAGGTGAGGTTCCAGGTCAGACCATCGCAGATTCTAGAAGAACTCAAAAGCCAGGAGTATAAGGCTCAAACGGGTAGACGGGCCGAAACGGCCTGCTGGTGAGCACAGAGGTCTTCATAAAGTACTGACCGGGCTTGTGCCTGAAATCACCCTTGAGGGACAGCCCTGTGTGTGGAAGGGGGAGGAAATGAGAAAATCACCACTAAGAATTAAATTATCTCGGCTTTCCCTTCTCTTGAAACAATTGATTTTTACAAGCAACAGGAGGAGTTTCAAAGGCTTTGGTTAACAGTCATGGCCCCCGGCTCCCCAGTTTAGGCTGCAGGAATCACTTTAGCTAGTTCCCTTTGCGCCACCGAAATGTGTGTGCAGGGGTGCTGGGGGGGCCAGGCAGCCGGTGTGAGCAGAGCAGAGGCTCCAGAGAGCAGAGCGGGTATATCTAAGACATCGCTGAGACCTCACGCCTGGTGAGTCGCGGTAACTCCAATAGCAACCCGGTCCACTTTCTGTGCACTATGCAAAATGCTTTCACTTACATTGCCTCATCCCAATCTTTGCAACAACTATTGATTAATAATATCAACCCCATTTGACCAAAAAAAAAAAAAAAAGAGCTGTTTCCGTGAGTTGCTTTTAGGTCTCATAGCCCATAAGAGGCAGAGCTGAGGATCTGTGTTGGGGCCTGTCTGGCTTTAAATTCAGCGCTCAGTGGATCACAATTAACTGGGGCCTAAATATGAGAGAAAGGAAATGAAAAACAGGTAGAACGGGACTCCAGCTAAATTCAGTGTTGGGTCAGCATATTCAAACGAAGGGGTCAAGTTTGGCACAGAGATCGAAGTTTTCATTTGGATAACTTTGGCATTCTAGAACCGATGGACTGCAAAGTCGAGAAAAATCAAGTTAGCTTATTTTTAGAGCTGCCCGTCAAAGAGGGAGAGTTGGGGGTGGGGGGACGGGGGCCACTTTTTAAATCTTAAACTTGAAGGAGCCGTTGCGTCTTTTGCGTCAAGGCACAGGAAATCATCTGAAGGGCTAAAGGGTGGTTGGTCACCTATAATGTTAAAGTTACCGAGCCTATCGTCCAACCTCAGCAGACTGAGTAAATATATTTTTATCTACTGGTACCACGAGGCATTTTAGTTTTCAACGGCAGCATGTTTTGGAAGTTTTTAAACAACATAGAAAAATACTTATGAAGTGGCATTAAATGAAAAAAAGCACAGCACAACATCGTGTACTCAGAGTGAGCTCAATTATGTTTAAAAATATATGCATGTAAACGTGGAAAACTAGAAGTGGTTCTCTCCAAGTGCTGGAATTACTGTTTCTTTTTAAATCTTTTTTTATACTAAGCCATTTGTTTTTAAGATTTTCTGTGTAAGTTATCTCTACACCCAGTGTGGAGCTCAAACTCATAACCCTGACATCAAGGGTTGCATGCTCTACCAACTGAGCCAACCAGGCACCGCTATACTTGAATGTGTGTGTGTGTGTGTGTTTTACAAATAAGCATGTAAAGTTTTTATACTGGGAGGAAAAAAAAAACCTAATGATTAAAAACAAAATTAATAGGAAACTCTGCTTCATAAGCTGAGGTAGACAAGTTCTTGATTCAAGAACTCGCTTTGGGGAAGCAAAGGAGGTTCAAGAGAAGCCGGGTTGGGTACCCGCAGAAATGCCCCAAGTCCCTTCAACCTTTTTGGCTTTTCCTGTATAAAAAGGAGACAATGTGCCCAGTGTGGCAGATGGGTGTAGGGACGGCAACACTATACCATCCCACACGATAGCTCTGTGACCACAGGAATGTCCCCAACCTCTCTGAGACTCAGCTTCATCATTCGCAACATAGCCACGGGGCCCTTACCTCACACATCATAAAGACAACAACAACCCAACAGGCTCCATAACAGGAATAACATCCACTCTGTCTAACTCCCATCGTGATGAAGCAGCTCACCCAAGACCGTGAGTGCAGTCAGAATTCAAAGCCGGGACCCCAGCTTCCACTCTGCTAGGAGCCTCGGGCGACGAAGGCGCTCTGTGACCTGAAAACGGCTCTACCCATGTGGGCTACTGTCCTGTTTTGGTGATACAGCCTCACATATTATCTTGTTGTGAATTCTGAAATGCTTTTGTGCCGACATATTTAGAACCTTCTGGGCAAGATGAGACTGAAAAGGTTGCTGATTAGATTCTGTTTTGATTTGTGACGGGAAAAGTGCCTGCCGCAGAAATTTAATTTCCTGTTGGATTTAGCCTCTCAAGAAGGGTCCCAGGGAAGAGGTTCGAGACAGACTGAGCTGATTTCTCACTCCCAGACTTCTAGCTCTGTGACTTAAGGCGAGTTGTGTCCCCATTCAGAACCTGTTTCCTCATCTGTAAGTGGGAACAGTAATCTCCACATGAGGGAGGTCCTGAATGTTAAGTAGGATGATGGAGGTAAGGGTACCAGGTTCCAGTGGGCAGACCACTTGGAATCATGAGTTCGGATCTCTCCGGACCTGCTTAATTAACTGTAGGAAGGACTCCATCAATGCTGTTTCCCTTTACTGGTGTTATTATTCAACTTTTTTAAAATCTTGAACACTATTATTATTTTCAAAAACTTTTAACATTTATTCATTTTTGAAAGACAGGGCATGAACAGGGGAGGGAAAGAAAGAGAGGGAGACACAGACTCTGAAGCAGGCTCCAGGCTCCGAGCTAGCTGTCAGCAGAGAACCTGAAGCGGGGCTCGAACCCACGAACTGCGAGGTCATGACCTGAGCTGAAGTCAAAGGCTTAACCATCCAAGGCACCCAGGATCCTCAGTCCAGCTTCTAAGAGGTGCGAGTTTCCACGCACCCTAAGCTTGCCCCCAAGGTGAACTGTGATTTGGTGGCAGCTCAATGCATGGCCCCAACACGCTCCCCAATTCCTCCCTTGATCAACCTGGCAGAATCCCTCCTGGACTGAGATGCCCGGCTCCTCTCTCTAAGCTGGCTTCCTAAGAGCCAGATCAAGGTCCCCACTGGGTGTCCCTGACACTTCCAACTTGTTCCCCCCACCCACCCCTACCTGGGGCCAGACCTCACCAGGGCTGAGGTCCTGTTCAACGCTCTCCAGGCTCAGCCCTGCAGGGAGAGAAGAGCAGGAAGCAGCCGCGTTCACTGCTCACTCAGCCACACGGGAGGGAGGCGGTAGGCATGTTCTGAGTCCCATGGGGGCAGACCCTGGGGAGGGGAGGAACTGGGTTCGGTGAGTGGGCTGCACAGGGGAGGGAGGGAGGCGGCAGAAGCTGGGCTCCTCCCTGCAGGAAATTCAGGAAATGCAGAAAATGAAGAATGGGGTCATGCCTACCAGGGAGGGTGACTAACCATCCTGGTTTGCGAAGGGCTGAGGGGTTTCCAGGGACACAGGGCTTTCCACGCTAAAACTGGGACAGTTTTGAACTCTGCCACTATTGGACTATGTGACCCTGGGCAAGTCCCTCGGCACTCAGGGGCTGCCTTTTGTGTGAAAGGTAACTGGTCCAGCTCAGTTCTATAGGATGCTTCAACTCTATCAAAGGGGCTGAAGTCCCACTAGCAGGTGGCAGGAGGATTTGGGGACAGCCAGGGCCTGGGAAGGGACATGGGTGGAGGGAGCCTAGCATCTCTGGGCCACTTCTGCCCGAGAAAGGAATCTTCCCCACGGAGCCCAGAGCTGCCAGGCTGGCACGGCCCCCTCCCGGGCCGGCAGGGTGGGGGCGGGGGCGACAGCAGCGCGCATGCCCGGCTGCCTGGGGGCTCGCGGGCCCGGGCTCCTACCTGCAGGCCGTTCGGGTACACTTCGCCCTCGGACAGCGAGTCCACCAGGTCCTCCTCGTCCAGCGTGGCCCGCTTGTAGGTCGACATCTGCAAAGCCAAGTGTAGCACGGACTCCCTCAGCGCCTCCATGGCTCTCGGACGAATGGGGAGAATGGGGAAGCGGCCCCGGCGCCACCGCGCGCCCCGCCCCCGGCCGGCCAGGACACCGAGACCGGCCCACGGACCGGCCTGCGGCGGGGGAGGGGGGTCCCGCCTCCCTCCGCCTCCTCCCCGCCCCCCTCCCCCCCATCCCGCTTATGCAACGCCGCACCTCACCCCCAGCGCCCACAGCGCCCACAGCGCCAGGGCCATCGGCTCCGCATGCTGCGCCCCGCGACGCCCGGTCCCCACCGCCAGGGAGCCCAGGCGACAGGCGGGCCGGGGCGGGCCGGGGCTGCGGGGCGCGACGGCAACATGACACCTTGGCGGGCGGGGCCTGATCAGCGCGCAGTTCTCCGTTCCCTCCCTGACCCCGCGGGGTGACCCGGGGTAGGTGGGGTCCCCCACCGCCACCCCTTGGCAGGCAGGAGGAGCTCTGGGGCAGCCCCTCCTCCTACGAAACGTCAAGTCCCTCTTCAGTCAAGGGGGTGGCAGATATCAGGAGTCAAGTATTAGGGAGATGCCCCTAATTTGGATCAGGACTGTCAACAGAGAGGTTCCACCCACAGTGGCCCTTAGGTGTCTCAAGTAAGACTCCCCATCAGAGACAGAAAGGGGGGGAGAAGAGAGGGAATAAAAAAGACAGGTGTCTCCCCTCTCATTTCCCCCCTTCCTCTAGCTCCGGGGCCTTATAAGACAGAGAATTTCAGAAAACCCCGGAGGGTTAGGAGTCACCAGGAAGGTGACCCATACACCCATCCACCTTCCCAGTCAGCAGTCCCGAGTCTCAAGCAGGGGCTCCCTCCCCAGTCCCTGTGACCTGGGCTGGGAAAGTGGGCGCTCTCGGGTGTGGGTGCACTCAGGGAGGGACTCCAGGGGCCCTCTGCCTCCCACCTCAGAAAAGTCTGGCCAGCAAGTTTCCCAAAGGACCCTCCACTTCCAGTGAGACCTGGAGCCCCTGCATTTACAGAGTTCTCAGCTTTCCACAAAGCACGTCTGTCCTTCGCATATTTGGTTCTCACAGCCACACATATGTGCACAGAATCTGACTCCGAGGGGTGAGGTGACTGCCTGGGGTCACAGTAGCAGCTCCTGGCAGTCTCCCACTTCTACTCAGGCCCTCTCAGCACCCAGAGGGAACCTTTGAAAGGAAATTTGGGGCACACTGAGCAGCTCAGTCGGTTAAGCGTCCGACTTCGGCTCAAGTCATGATCTCACAGTTGGTGAGTTCGAGCCCCGCGTCGGGCTCTGTGCTGACAGCTCGGAGCCTGAAGCCTGCTTCAGTTCTGTGCCTCCCTCTCTCTCTGCCCCTTCCCTGCTCACGTTCTGTCTCTCTCTCAAAAATGAATAAACATTAAAAAAGTTAAAAGGAAATTCTGATCTCACTATGTCCTTGCTTGAAACATTGCAAGGGCAGGCCCTTTACCAGCCCCTCACAGGCCCCCCGGCCACCCCGACCCTCATCTCGTGCTGCTCCCCTCTTTACTCACTAGGCCCCAACTTCTTTGGCCTTCATGCAGTTCCTCAGAGTCTCAAGTTTCCATCCTCTCTCAAGATCTTTATAGCTGCTATTCCCTCTATCTGGAACATTCTTTACTCAGCTCTACTCCTCCCATGGCCAGTCCCTGTTTCAGACCTCAGCTTAAACTGCCACCTCCTCGTGGGTTGTAACCACTCTTAAGTAGCCCCTCAAATTCCCTTTTATACACCCCATTTTCCACCTTAGCCTGTCATCATTACCATCATTTTTCTTTTTTACTTTGATCCCTCCCCTCCCACCCCAAGCATTAACAGCCTGGGACTTGGTTCAGCACAGAGAACCCCCATCGCACACCATAGGTGCTCAATAGACAGTTAAAATCAATGGTGGAACAAGTGCAGGGGAAGTGAAAATTACTCTGGGGCAGTGCCCTGAAGTTCTTGACAATCTAATTTTGCAATGTCTAAGGACAAAGGAAACATATCTAACGAGCACGGGCTCTGGGGGAGGCAGGGTACGTGGGAAGAATTTTAATTCTGGAATCTTCTGCCCCACTCCCACTGGGTGGAGGAGCTCCCATTATCCACTGGGGACGGAGAGAAAGGACTCCAGTGCTTCTTCGTTTCACGCTGGATGACAGCTGGACTTTTTCTGAAATGAGGACACTTGGTTACGTGAAGTAACAGGTGTCAACCGCCCAAGGAAAAAGACCCTTGAAAAAGAAGTTCAGTTCACCACACAGCCTGGCAGCACAGCTACTGTTTCATCCATCATTTCACTGAAGCCTCTAGAGCTTCTCTCTGAGTATTATTGGCCCCTTTTACAGACCCTGAAACTGAGGCTCAGGCAAGTAACTTGCCTGGGTGCAGAGAGGCAGCGGCTCTTCCTTCTGTCTCATTTCAGAGCTCACCCCTTCTGGGAAGCTCTCCTCAGCCTTGCCCTCCAGACAAGACGGCCTCTGCTCCCCTGCTCAGTGACCCCCCCACCCCAGGCCCCCACCCCATGCTTCCTTCTGTTGAAGCACACAGCGCTCTACATGGGAGAACCAGGAAGGCCAGGGCCAGGGCTCCTCAGGCCGCAGGGCCTAGGCTGCCGCCGGAGCCTCCGTGGCTGTTGGAGAGAAGGGAGGAGGCAAAGGAGGGAGGCTGGAAACCCAGCCCAGGGGCCAAGGCCAGACCACCGGGGCCGCCCGTCCCGCTGCAGCCTGTTTGTGGACGGACGATGAAGGAAGCTCACATACCTCCCAAGCAGAAGCCCGCTCCGCTGCGATGGAGACGTGTTTATTTTTTGGCGCACAAGAGCTGAGCTGCTCCTCCTAAGACGCCTGCCTCAGACGTGGGAACGGCTCTGTGAGGAGCGCGGAGGCTCCAGTGGGCAAGTGAGTGACACTCCAACAACAATGGCAGCCCTAGAGCTGTCCCCACCCAGAGCCGGAAGGGGCCTTCCATTCCCCGTCTTGTTGGGTCCCCGCACCTACCTCGAGCCCCAGCCTCAGCAGGTATCACTTCCATGTTACAGGAGAAGTGGGAGGCCGGCGGGAGGGGGGCCCGCGCAGGGAGAAACAGCACCTGCTCTGTGCCGCACCCCGACATGCGCCTCTCCCCACCCCTGCCAGGGTCACCGCCACTTTCCCAAGGAGAAGGCTGATTAGGGAGGAGGCGGGCCGCGACGCTCCCCTCCCCAGCCGCCCAGGTCACCGGCTGCAGAGCGAGATGCCTGAGCTCACGCCTGTCCCGGGAAGCCCAGCCACACAGCTAGGAAGTGGTAGAGCAGGGCCTTGCACTTGACCCTGCGCTCCTGGTCCTGTGCTCCTTGGGGGGAGGGGGGGCTGCTCCTTAGGGTGGAGCCCTCGCGGGGTCAGGCCGAGCTGTCAGGGTGGCCACACTTGTTCACCCCCCACCCCACGCCCCACCCCACGAGCTTCCAGGAAGGGAGAAGAACTGCGCCGCTTTGAGGGGAGTCCGCCCTGATCTGCTCACTCCTCACCCGGGCCCTCGGTGCTCACGAGAAGGGCTTGGTGGAGACCGAGCATGGCAGAGTGGGGACCACGGCTCGTCCCCAGGCCCGCAGCTGCACAGAGAAGGTGATGAAAGCCAGAGACGCGAGTGGTGGTGCCCCGCTCTGGAAACCCCACCCCGGGGTGAACAGAAACGAGGAATATTGGAAACTGTCACATGTTTCTGACAACAAAGGCCTCTGGCCCAGTGACACCCGGTAGTCACTCAGGGATCTTCAAGGAAACTTGGAGCGTGTCAGAGGCAGGAGAGCAGTTGCCAGTGAGATTCAGAGGCTGCGACTCCTTGGCCACACCCTCCAAGCTGTTTTCGCGTTGTTTCTAAGCCTTGGCTCTGTCAGTTCCTGCCTCAGGGGCTCGTAATTGGCTGGGATCCATGATGTCCTTATATGTCACCTAATACACACTTGCATTGTGTGTTAGTTCAATACTGTTATTTAACAGACACAACCACAGAGTGGGTCAAAACTCTAGGTGGGAATCTGTGACCCAGATTCCCAGCTGTGTGACGCTGGGCAAGTGACTTTGGGCTTCTCTGTGCCTCAGTCGTCTCATCTCGAAAGTGGGGATGATAATCATAGTACCTCTCTCGCAGGGCTGCCGTCAAACTTAAGTGAGTTAATACAGACGAAGCGCTTAGAGCTGTGCTGGGCACACGGCACATGCTCACTAGGTGTTGGCTGCTCTGATTTACTTCTTCGTTGCTTAAACAACACAAGGCCCACAAACTTTCCCGTGATCCCCACCACCGAGAGAACTCCTCCCTCTCCAGGTTCATCCTCCACATGCCCCTCAGGCGAGTGGTCATCCCCTAACCCTGACCCAGCCCTGCAGGTATCGACCGCCCCACAGGAGTCCATCGTGTCCTTGACGCAGGTCAGGCCTGTGTCGCGAGCTGAGGGGGCAGCTCCCGATAGGACTTGGTAGGACTCAGTCCCCACCCCCGAGGGACCAGCTGCTGATATCCCCTCCCAAGCCTGGGCCGCCTCCCAGCCATTGCTCTCCTGTCTGGCCCATCTCCTCCTCCATCTGGCCTTCTCTGCCTCCTCCCCCATGGTGTGCCCCCCCCGCCCCCCCCACGTGGCAACCACACTGACATCCAGGCCTTATCTGGGCATCTCTGTCCTTGGGAAAGACAGGACCTGGGGGGTGGGCAACAATCATCTTACTACTTTCCATCCGCAGAACCTAGAACACAACCTGCTACATAGAGAACTGATTAAAGTCTGGTTTTTTTTTTTTTAAGTTTATTTATTTTTGAGAGAGAGAGAGAGAGACAGAGCATGAGCAGTGGAGGAAGGGCAGAGAGAGGGAGACACAGAATCCAAAGCAGGCTCCAGGCTCTGAGATGTCAGCACAGAGCCTGATGTGGGGCTTGAACTCACGGACTGTGAGATCGTGCCCTGAGCCAAAGTTGGATGCTTAACTGACTGAGCCACCCAGGTGCCCCAGATT